ATGAATATGTGCTATCATGGATTGATGAGATAAGGCTTTGAGCTTTTGAACTTCGGATTTGATGTGAGATTTTGAGATATGTTTTTGGTGCTTATGTAGTGGGTTATCATACAACACATCCACACAACACAGGTATGTAGACGTCTATGGCCATAGGACATAGTTGAGAAGATTTATGTCTATACCTCTTCTCCGGCGTAACCCGGAGTTGTACAGCTTCACCTTCGGGTGATGGACCATGGTTTTCTTCACTAGCATAACCCAGTGTCGTACAACTTCATCTTCAGGTGATGGACATGTACTGCTTTCAGGCGAATAAGGAGTTGTTGATATTGATGATATACCCCCAGCTTCACTAGCCCGGGGCAAGTGTCGGTGTGTGATGTTATATATCCTCTTATGCGCACATAACCTGGAGTCGTACAACTTCACCTTTGGATGATGAACCATGGTTTCTTCACTGGCGTAACCCAATGTCATACAGCTTTACCTTTGGTGATGGACCGGTCCTGCCTTTAGCCGACTATGATACCCCTAGAGAGTACAGTATGGTTAAGATTTACAAATTTTCCTTCGGGCGGCGATATCACCATTATTGAGAATTGTTTTATGCGTACTTTTTTTTACAAATAATTGCATGGCATGCTAGAGTTTTCAGAAAGCTTACTATATGTAGTATTATATATGTTTTCAAAACAGGGGGTTAGTATGTTCAGAAATAAAATGGTTTTCCTATTATTAGTATTATTATAAACTTTGGTTCACTCACCTTTTTATGTTTTTGCGCCCCCTCAGAATTTAGATTCGAGGCACACAATCCAGAAGTCAAGACACTTCCGCTTAGGCATCTCGAGCCTTATTTGTGTAGGACCTATTCCTGGGTTCTGGTTTATATCATAATTCTTTCACTTAATTCTTGATTAGTTGTATGCTTTAAACGCGATTATGCATTTGTGAATCTCTTTCTAATTATATGTTTTAGTTATAGACATGTTTAAAATGGCTTCGTCATTCCTGGGTGTCGGCCAACACATGCTCATCATGGTATTAGAGGGATATCGGGATCGGGGCATGTCAATACTTGTGGGTTAAGCACTGACATTGCATACATGCTGTGCATATTCTCATCATCAATGTCATGCATATCACGTTGAGATACTTCTCCCTAGCTTTTTAGAGATTGATTTGTCATTGTACATTTTGCCAAGGCTTCTTATGATGCAATATATGCAATTTCAACTCTTTTGTGATAATGACCTTTCCTCACTCAACTTATTAGCTTATTGGAACAATTCCTTGAAATGCAGTTTTTTTACTGAACATCCTTTGGAGTAGACTTTCTGGTGGTATACGTGCTTCTCACACTCTTATATCTTCTAAAATATATTGAGGTGGGATATGAAAAATTCCCAAAGATTGGAGTATACCCATAGCATGTCAACAAAGAAATCCACTATATTCAAATAGATGACAAGAGCAAAAAATATCCTCTTTCTTGCATCCTATAGTACTATGAATGCCCTTTTTTTTTTTTTTTTTTTTTTTCCCTCTTCAATCCTTAACTTTAAAGACTTTATCCCCAATGTCTTCATTCGCTTTTAATAAATAACATCATCCAACTAGTAAAACCTCCTTTTGAAACTACTGAAACAAAGAAGTAACTTCACTTTTTGACTTCAAACAAACCCAAGTCATACGTGTGCAATCATCAATACAAGTAACGAATTAATGAGCACCACCAAATGTAGCAGTCTTAAATGGTCCCTAAACATCAAAATGAATTATCATAAATTGAACGGAACTTTTATTTAAATTGGATGGGAACAAAGTACGATGAATCTTAGCCAGTTCATAAACACCACATTTAAAGCTAGAAGCATCATCCTTAATAAACAGGCTAGGAAACAACCTCGGTAAACAACCGAAAGACGCATGTCCAAGTCAACGATACCACAACCAAACCTCCGAAGCTCTGTTCCTCTCCCCTCTGAGATCATTTCACAGCAAGAACTTGAGTCAAGATCCAAGTATTGTTCGATGTCAAGTCCAAGTAGTAGATCTTCCACTTTCTAATACCATACCAATTGTCTTGTGAGTCCGAATGTCATTAAAAGCACAAAAATAAGGCCAAAAAATCAAAAGACAATATAGGGCGACATTTATTTGAGCAACAAATAATAAATTATAATAAAAAAAGGAACAACAAGTATGGTATCAAGATCAAGGGTATCAGAAAAGGAAACAGAGCATTCCCTGATAGTGAGGGCAACATTACTATTGGCAACACTCACGACAATTTTGATAGATGGTTTTAAGGCTTGTACTTGTCTATAATCACAAGTCATATGTTTAGTAGCACTAAAATCAATTATCCATGTATTTTTCGTAACAGATGTAGAAACCTTTCAAGCCTTATCATCGTTACCTTCATCAATAAGCAAGGTAGACACTTTCTTGACTATTTGTTTAGAATCTACCTTAAATGCAAAAGCAACAAGTGGCCCGCTCTCCGATGAGCGAAAAACATCTCCCAAATCCAGCACATGCGTTGGCTCAAGACCCATCAATATTAACCTTAAGCCGCCCAACCATTGGCAACTTCCAAATGACTAGAATAAAAGATGAATCCATAGTAGAAAACGATGAGATTGTGATATTCATCCCATATTTTAGTATTTGATTTCATTTTTGAAGTTTTTCGGAGGTTTAAATTAAAGCTAGTTCGTTAGATTCTCTAATTTTAAGAAACAAAAATATAATTCTTACCATCTATTTGGGCCATCATTTGTACCATCTCTCTACAGAGATGGATCCTACATGTGCTGATAGGATCTAGCTCTAGTAGAAATATGGTTTAAATAATGGTACAAATAGATAGTAAGTGTAACACTACTCTTTGAGAAAAGTGTATTGAGAGGTATTTTTTTCATTTCCAATTTACTCAACCTTTTGGGTAACTCTTGAGTTGGTTGGATAGAGCTCAATCCCACACACGTAGGCAAAAACTGTTGCCGAATTGGAGTTGAAACGAAAGAAGGTTGGCCTAGACAACACTCGGATCCCATGTCCGATTCTCGGGCCGACCCTAGTACTGGCAGCATTATTAGGTCGATTTTCTGGCCATTTTCGGCCACAAATCAGCTTGCCAACACCACCATCTATCTCCTCTCATCCCCCTAAACAAGACCCACCTTAAGTTCTCCCCGTTTGGTCACGATTTCGAGGCGATCCGAGTTCACCTTTTTCCCGAATTTTCGTTGCCACAATCGTTTTACTCCATATATCTCAAAGTCATCCACCACCACCAATTGACTTATCTTTAATCAAACAACAAACTCGACATAGTCATCCTCCTCCATGCATCTCATCGTAGTCACTTGAAAGTTAAAACACCAAAACTTTTTTGTTGACTTGCATGACTAATTTATTTTTTCAAGCTGTACTATTAATGCCATAAGACATTTTGACATTGAAGTTTGTTTGAACTTAAGTTTTAGAATGGTAAAATTAATTTTTCGATTGGGTTGTACTAAAGTAATGCCATAAGCGGTTTTGATGTTGAACTTTATTTCAAATTGAATTTAGTGTGTTGATCATGAATTTTCTTCAATTGGGCTCTATTAACGGCATAAAGCATTTAGTTACAAATGATCTAAAATCAGACTAAAACTGACTGAAACCAGACCGAACCGCAACCAAACAATTTGATCCATTTCCATTCAGGCTTCAAAACCGCCAAACTGAACTGCAAAAAGTTCTATCTTAATTTTACCCCAAAATCGCACAGAACCAAACCATGTCTACTCCTAAAATTATCATTGTATTAGTGACATTTAGTATGCAAATTTGTTCTACCCATCATTTCTCTTAAAGACAAAAAATTATCCATGAGGTTTCCACCAAAAATAAAAATAAAAAAAAAAAAAATAAAAAAATAAATAAAGGCTTTTTAGCCAAAATGGTCCCTAAAATTTACATAACACATCAGTTTGGTCACTGAGATTGAAAATCAATAGAAATGGTCCCTGAGATTGTCCACCATCCATTATTTTGGTCATTCCGTTAAAATCTCTGTTAAGTGTCCCGAAGCTTTTGGCCGGAAGTTTGGGCAATTTTCAAAGCTTCGTAACTCAATCGTTTCTTAACCAAATTTGACCCATAATATATCAAAATGAAGATAGGAAAGTGTAGAATAAGATTATATCTATTTGGAAGCCCAATGATTACCGAAGATGGCCGAAAAATAGTTTGAAAGGTGATTGGTTCACGGAAAAACTGGAAAACTCGTCGGAAATTAAGTAAACTTTAAACGTTCATAACTTCTTCAATACTCAATGAAATCTAGTGAATAAAAAACAATACTTATCAATGAGACAAAGAGAATGGTACTTTCTCGACAGTTAATTCGTCGTGGTTTGGTTGGAAAATGGCTCGAAAGTGGCTATCTTGGTCTCTAGTTAGCCACTTTCGAGCCGTTTTCCAACCAAACCACGATGAATTAGCTGTCAAAAAAGGTACCATTCTCTTTGTCTTGTTGATAAGTATGATTTTTATTTTTGAATCACTTGATTTCGTTGAGTATTGAAAAAGTTATGAACATTTAAAGTTTACCTAGTTTCCGGCGAGTTTTCCAGTTTTCTCATTGACCAGTCACCTTTTAGGCTATTTTCTGGCCATCTCTAGTAACCATTGGGCTTCCAAATAGATATAATTTCTTCTACACTTTCTTATCTTCATTTTGATATATTATGGGTCAAATTTGATTAAGAAACGAGAGCTACGAAACTTTGAAAATTGTCTAAACTTTTGACCAAGAGCTCCGGGACACTTAATGGAGTTTTTAAAGGAATAACCAAAATAATGGATGGTGGACAATCTCAGGAATCATTTCTATTGATTTTCAATCTCAAAAACTAAAGTGATGTATTATGCAAATTTCACAACCGTTTCAGCTAAAAAGTCAAAAAAAAAAAAAAAAAAAACAAACATCCTGAGGCGCAAGAGATCTCCAAAATCCCCCGCTCCTCTGGTTTCCTTTCTCACACAAGGTAAAATTTACTCTCTCTCTCACTTTCTCACTCACAAGAAGCCTCCATGGCTTCTTCTGCTTCTGCAATCACAACCACCCTTTTCCGTCTCTCCCTAATCCATTTGGCACCATCACCCTCCCCGTCATCTCCTTACACAATCCCATTCTGTTCCCCCAATCCCAAGGTCCAAATTCATCCCACATATTAACCTTCGGGATTCGATAGTCCGGTTGCTCGCATACTTTTATGTGTCTTGCTTGCAGGGTCCGAAATACCGATTCCGATTGTCTTCTTCAATGGCGTCCGAACCGAAAGATTTTCCGGCCAACAATCCGGTCCTCCAGGCCACCCCAGATGAAACGACTTGGGGTTACATCACGCAGCAAACTGTATGCAACCACGTCCCGTTGAATGAATATATAAAAATCTTGTATTTTTGTTTTTCTGACATTTTCTATGTATTTAATTTTGCTTTAGAAATGATTTTTTTACTATGGACTTTGATTGCAGATGTTCCGAATTAAGGACCCGAAAGCGAGTCACGACTTTTATTCGCGTGTGTTGGGAATGTCGTAAGTTTTTGTTATTGTTTTACGGCGTCTTGTTTGAATTCTCTATGTTTTTTTATGCTTTTTTATGTTAAGTATGAGATAAGATTTGCATTTTCTTTGTTTAAGTTGAAGAATTTTTCAGAATTGTTCTGTTTTCTAGTGCTTCATAGTTTGGGTGCATTGGTTGTTTCTTTGGATTTATCGCGATATGATAGCAGGATTTCAGTTGGTTTGTTTTATGTTATCATGAGATGTCTGCCTCCTTGATGGTTTTGTGTATGATTGTGTGTGTGAATCTGTATATATGAACTTTCCTGTGGCTGGAGATTCTGTAACTGGATGTTTTTGTTCAAAAAATTGACTCTGTAAGTGGAAATTGATGGTGATTTATACTGTTGTTCAGGCTACTTAAGAGGCTTGATTTTCCAGAAATGAAGTTTAGTTTGTACTTTTTGGGCTATGAGGTAAAATTCATAACGTCCCATCTGCTGTAACAGAATTTTATAGTAGGTGCTCTTGTAGGTTTTACTGTGGTAATTGGATTACTGTATTTCCATTCCCTCAATCATATGACACATCTCCGACATCCCATTTAATGTTTTTTCTTAAAGGAGCAATTTGGCCTTTCACATTTTAATCTGTGGAACCCCTATATGCAGTAAAAGTGTGATAGTATGTTTCTAAAAATTTTCCTGATATTTCCAGAGACGTTTAATTTTATTTGATCTTTTCTGGGGTAGGATCCTGCGTCAGCTCCAACTAACTCGGTTGATAGAACAGTTTGGACCTTTGGTCGGAAAGCTACAATTGAGTTGACACAGTGAGATTCTCTAATGTTTCCGACATGGTCTTATTTTCTGCACAATTTTTGTCTAATGTTTTCAGTAATATCTGACAATCACTTACATTTCCAGTAATTGGGGTACTGAAAGTGATCCAGAATTTAAAGGATATCACAATGGGAATTCAGAACCTCGGTGCTTTGGTATGTTAGTTGTCCTATGAATGTGTTAAAACATAAGTTTTTATTTTTATGTATTACAACACAGTTGTTTCTTCTCTTACTTAGACTTTGATTAACTAATTGATGTCAAGTGCCACGTATTATATCATGTCTTCTTATGCCGCAAGTACTGATGGTTCTAACTTCTAAGAAATGCATGCATTTGAACTTTCTCTGAACCATGAATTTAAAATACATTCCTAATGCTTAGTTCTGTCCGTAAAAAAAGTTAGGCTACAATTTTTCAAGAATAAAGAAAATTATAAGAGTGAACTCATTTGTTGGATTCGTTGTGTAGTGTGAGTAAAAGGTTTCCATGTTATTAACAAAAGATATGAGGGCTTCCCATCCTCAGTTGACCTTATTATCAAGAAGGCTTGATTTGTGAACGGGAATCTTTTTGTTTACTATACCATCATAAAACTACAAGACAGGATCAGCAACCACTGAAATTCATACAGGATGTGGTTTTCTGCATTTAGGGGAATAATTAAATTCTAAAGCGTTGGTAATGGTCGTTCAAACATGTTACATGTACTTTTCCTAGTTTGTACATAGTGATTCTGGCGGACTCGTGTGCTTTAAATCAATTCTTCTTTCTGGCATTCACAGTGATTGGCCTAATTGTTTTATTTTGTTTCTCAGGACACATTGGCATCACCGTTGATGATACATACAAGGTGTGTGAGAGATTTGGAAGTCTGGGGGTGGAATTTGTGAAAAAGCCTGATGATGGTAAGAACATTCATCTTGTAGAACATATTAGGAATTGTGAGATGTATCCTCACTGAACATTAGCAGAGATAATTGGCAGGCATTCATTGGGACACTGTAGATCCTTTTTGTGTGCATACATTGATACATTTCAGTATCAGGCAGATGGTTTGAGTTAACCAAAAGATCATCACTTTTCCTGAATTGAAAGCAGCAGTACTTCTAAGTTTGTACCAAAACACTTTGAGAAGCATTATGGTTTTTAAGGATTTATATGCATATCTAGGTGTGTGCTCATATGTGCATGTGTGAAGCAACAAAAATATGATGGGGGTCATTGTCATGGTGCATTTTCTATTTTTCACCATTATATTTGAAGAAGTAAATGATGGGGACGTATATACTGATTTCTGATTCCTAAGTTTCGTGATGTTGATTGCAGGAAAGATGAAAGGTATAGCATTCATTAAAAGATCCTGATGGTTATTGGATTGAGATCTTTGACCTTAAAACTATAGGAACAGTCACAGCTGATGCTTCTTGAATTCATGGAACTTTATTTTCAGGTTAATTTCAATCTTCTTATTCATGCTTTTAACTGATTGTGACCAAATTCTTCTATTCGAATCTCTACAGGATTGGATTTCAAAACATTTGGTTTACTGGCCTACCGCATCTTGTGTATTGGAAGCTTAACGATGCTCATCTGCTAACCACTGTGTTAAGCATTCTCTTTTATTATTATATTCCCTACCTTCCCTCAGAAACATGATCAGACGTTGCACTGATTCATGGTATTTGAGCCATTCAAAGTGCTTGTCTTCAAGTGTTTATGCATTTTTGCATGCATGGATGACTACATTGTGCAGACGTAGGATCAGGCACGGATGCGGGATTGAAAAACGGGGTGGGCTGAACTTCTAAGCTAATTTTTTTCTCAATCACATTTTTGGCCTAGTCTCTTTTGTTTTTGTGACATTTTACAAATTTTACATAACCTAAGAAGCATAAGAGTCATTTCATAACATCTATATAGGACATGTCATTAAGGAAATTAAAATAATTGCAATAATCTAGATTATTATTACTATTTTACCAGTGGACTGCTCAGTTTACATTTGGAACTTGGAAAGCAACGTGTCAAAAGCAATTTACACAAACCAAACACGATTCTTGATCCAAGTGACTGTCAATAAAAACCAATAAACTAAAAAAAAAAAAAAGAAAAAAAAAGTGTTTTGGTTATAGTTGCAGCCTTAGAGATGCTCTAAGAATTACAGGTCATCTTCTTCGTTAGGAAAATACACGTCTAAAACCCAATCATATTGCACCGCCGTCTACAGAAGGCAGCAATAGCTGTGAGCACTGGCTAATGGTTAAGAGTGAGAGGGTCAACTGGGAGCTGGGGTGGGCTGGGATTGGCTGCATACATAACTTTTTTCTTCTTTGTCTCTGTCATAGGTTAGGCTATAGCACAGCCCAGCCTTAGCCGGGTCCGTGCCTGTGTAGGATAGTGCAAGAGGGGTATTTACATTGAGTATGGTGCAGATGTATCCTTAGGTTTATCTGATTTGATAGGAAAAGAAATTCTAGTGCACCAGAATGCGAATACATTTATCCTGTGATAGCATTTGGCCATTAACACTTATGGTGGTTCTGAAATTTGAATGCTTGCTTTTTACAAAAACCTGGAATCTCCAGAAAAAGGGGACCAGCTGGTATATCGTAGCTTATCTGAGATCTGGACAGCAGCATGTGTAGTCGCATATGGTATGCATAATGGGTTTAATATTTTGATTTTATAGGTCAGCAGTAAGCATAGAAAATTTCATTCATAGAAAGGATGTGGGACCTTTGGATTTCTCAGCTATGTACATTGGTGTGTGGGTGCTCACACTGGAAGTGTGAAATTTCAGGTATCTGTTTCCTGCATTCCAGGTATATCTAAAACCGAAAATGTTCTTTTAGCGTCGACCAGTTTGCTGCTTGTATGGCAATGTCATGAACCAGTTTATAACTTTATAGATGCTACTACTTGCCTTTGGCCCTGCGGGTGTATCCGTGTATGTTTTCCAGGTGTTAATTAGGTGTCGTAGCTTGTATATATCAGACATGAATCGGTTACATTAACTACTGCACCCTTCTGTTTTTCTTACCGTGGTGGGTTTTCTTCTTTATGCAAAGAAATTTCAGGCATTTCTTGAAGGTTAGGTACTAACATAGTTGTTTATCAGCACTTTAATGCAGGTGAGCGGAGGTGACAACTTACACGCTACATGGTTTCTCTGTTTGTCCTGATATATTGGCACTTGTTCTTGTGTTTGTTTTGTTTCTCGTTGGTGTCTGGAGTTTTTGTTTTGTCTACTCGATTGTACGAACTTAATCCTGATGATCTTAATATGTTTATTTAAACCTTTCACAGATCAAGTGCAACTTTTGCAAGTATCGGGTTTCTTTGTATTGGCACCAACTATACTAACTTTTCCCCAACCTAACCAATCATTAGTTATTAACACCGTATAGCAATCCAAGGGCGTCCAGCTCGAGTACTTAAGAGCATTTATCTATGCTTCTACATTTATAGTTCTAATTTCGATTCTCCCTTCGCCTGCTATCTTGCTTGTATCGGGAAAAAAAAAAAAATACTGCATAGCAGTCACGGTCACTGAGCACGACGCAAATCTGCCAGCCGATCCGTCACACGAACGAATGGGATTTTCATTTGTTTGAGAAGAAAGCATATAGTTTTACTAGTCATGCATAAAATTGATGCCGTTGGTCAAATACAACAAAATGCTAGAGACATGAACCTAAATGGATTAATAGTTTGAACGGTAGTTACTCTGAGCAAAAGAATTGCGACTTTGTAGTCCAAAAGCTTGTGGTCCTTCCTGCAATTTTTAATTTGCGTCCTGCAATCAGCAACGTTTTGGAAATACATCATATAACAATGTTTTCCATACCCACATAGATCCATCCCTAAATTAGATCATAAAAGTGTACTCTTAGCTCAAAGATGTAAACATCTTTTTTGTTCCTTTTTTGGAGGGAAAAACAAACGTACAAAGAGATTCTCGACGGATCCTATTACTAAACATGTCAAAGAGTAACATAGGAACTATCACATGACGAAAATTATTATACCAAACACAAGATTAGCTATAGTTATGTGCCACTTTTGGCAAAGCTATTAGCATAAATGTTGTCTTCTCTAAACATATGATCAATCGCGTGTAATGTGGAATTTGCTTCAGTTGATAACAGACATCTTTGATGAAGGATGAAATTTACCACGGAATTTGTATCTCCTTTTTTTGTTGATAACAGACATCTTTCATGTTATCCATTGGAGAGCTCTCTGTAAACTTGCACGTACTTTTGCCATGTAAGTTTAGCCAAAATTTCAATAGATTTAAGTGAAAAGTGATTAGTGTGCCCTCTCCATAGGTAGTGAATTAGATTCCAACCAACCGTTAACTAGGTTTTGCAAAAAGTAATGCATTTAGGTTTCTGATTTTAACATTCTAATTTTGTAGTTGATCATGAAATTTGTTAGATTCTATATTTTGCAAAGAGTACTGTTTTGTATATAGAATTTTGTTTTTAGAATAATGTGATGCTTGAATTATTATCATTTTTTTTTTACAAAAAAATAATTTACCATGAATAAATATGTGGAAGCAGTATAATATTTTTTTGAGTAATGTACATTAAATTTACTTAAATTATGGAGAGTAAGATTTAAACTTGAGTGAAAAGAGATAGCACACTGATCTAGCTAACTTAACTAAGTCCATATCTACTCGTAAGCACAACATGATTAAAGTGGAACAATTGTTGTTTATATCATTTTGATCAAGTCAAGTTCTGGCTAAAGTATCTCTTTTATGTAATGCTTTATCAAGGGAGACAATGATAATAATTTCACTGGGGAAGATATTGTAACATGTATAGAGTAGCTAGGTATGTCTGTACTCAAAGATCATCGATTTCATTGATAAATGTGTGACATAAATAGCTAAAGTTTTATAACCAGGAAATCAAGGTCACGGACAATAGTCAATAAGTTTCTCCAATTAGTGGAAAAAGGCTACAAATTATTCATACTTTAATATATTGGCTCTTCTCTGTTCTGTTAATCCTCTTACTTCAAACGCTATCTGTTAATCCTCTTCGTTTATTGACAACAGATCACCATCCTCTAAATCATTAAAAGCTTTTAAATAATGGAAATTAAAATATTTGGGAGTGTCAGACTGTCAGTAGGTTCCACACCTTTTGACCTTACATTTTCACTAGAAAAGACATTCCCAGACAAGCTTTCCCCCACTGTCTTAAAATTAATCAAGTTGGAAAATCAATTAATAAAACAAAACCCTAACCCTAACTGGCAAGAGGCAATTTGTTTAATCAAATTGAAGCTCAAGTTAGATGCAGATGGACATATAATGCAGTGAAATAGTGGAGAAATCATATTTGAGTTATAATATTAATAAGTAGTGAGATTTTATTGGGATTATTGAAATTTTCACTAGAAAATGACAAATTATTGAATATATTACATGAAACAAATTTTCAAGGCTGCAGCGATCATAGGCCACTCGTCAACTGCTCCCACTTTAATAAATCTGGTCTGGGGCATATGACTGACAGAGATATTGTGTTGCATCATGCAAATTTGGAGAGCTTTGGACTGCTTCCCAATAGGGATTCCCTGTCACTTCAATAAAATACATGTCTAAATTGAACTCTGCTGGCTACAATATGAACCCCCCCTTGTTTTTTTGCTTTATTTTTCTTTTGAGGAAGGCTCCATGCGTGTACAAGGTGGAAACTGTGTCGATAGGTGCTGGGGAAGATAATAAAGGGGGAACAAGATATGATAGCTGATCTATGTAGACGAGAGCAATTCCCCAGGGGCTTGTGTTTGATATACAGACTTTAGGTCAATATATAACTAAGGACCATGGTGATTTCTTTGTTCCGCTTGCTCATGCAATAAGATAGTATGCTCACTTGCCTCTTTTGCTTTGTTGAATTTACTTTTAGTTTAGTTGGATTTTCAGTATTTTGGCAGAAGACGTAAGTGTTTCTATTTTCTTATAATGAAATCCAATCATTTGGCAAAAAGAAAGCAAAAGAACAAAACTTTGATGGATAAGATTTGCATTACAAAAACCAGTTTAGAAGAATCATGTTGTGTTACATCTGATCGGTTAACTAAATGAATTAAACAAGCCATATTTATTGCAGATATTGTGTTTAGTCCCCAAACGTAAATTAACACACTATCTTCAAAAGATCCAAACACGACTTATTAATATGAATTCTCACCCCCAATCATGAATTCTTTATTTAATTTCTTTTGAAGAATAAGAAGTGGGCGCATGTTTTTCCCATTGGAATTTAACATCTTCACAAAAGAACATTTTTCACACGCATGTTAAGCCCAATAGCTTAAATAATTTTAAAATATTTTGAATGTATTTGGGGCTATTAAAAAAGAAGCTCTTCAAAACTTTCTTTGATACACAAGAACATTTTGAGAAGCTTCAAGTTTGTTTGCGAGTGTTGCGTATTCTTCTTCTGCTTTCTGTTTGTCTTATATACTAGTTTTCATCAAAAAGCTCAATCGTATTTGGGAGGACTGGATTAATTTTAAAGCCAAATTTATGAAGGGGCCTTGGTTTTGCTTTGGTCCATTGATCCTTTACTCTAGTTTAGTGTTTGTTCATGGAATTGGAAAAAGTAAAGTTGAGGGACAAAATTTAGGCATTTCTTTAGGCATATAATTGGTGATGGAAACTTTACATTTTTTTTTGGCATGAAACATGGCACCCCACGGTCCTCTTTGGCCTCCTTCCAGATGATGTTGTGGTTAGTTTGATTGTGACTGATCTTCTGTACAAGTTATTTTCTGTAGTGCATGTTTTTCCACAAAGAACATTTTCCACATGCATATATGACAAGTCCAATCGCTTAAAAATTTTTAAAATAATTTGAATGTATTTGGGGCTGTTAAAAAATAAGCTATGCAAAACTTTCTTTAATATACAAAAACATTTTGATGAGGGATTTGCATGCATTAGGAAACTTAAACTAATTTAACTAAAAATGCACTAAAAAAAAAAAATTGTTGAAGAAATTTGAAATGTACTTGATACGACACATTGAAAGGGTTTATAAATGACTACTTAAAATGAACCATTTGTTAATCCTTAAATTCATAGCTTTGTAATGTTCATGTGCATTTTAATGATACTTTATTTTTAAACTAATTTATTCTAAATTTCTTAGTACTTGTAAATATCTCATCAAATATACATTTTGGAGAAGAAAACCTTTGACCCTACTATAGGTGAGCTAGTTTCTTTTCCCTATAGTTTGATTCTTAAAAGTGTTTAACAATTGTTAGAGGGGTTTGGGTAAGGGTTGTGCTATTTACACATTCATTTTTACCTTCCACACACCCTTGTTAATTATGTCCATTGATGTTCTTCAATTCATTCAATCTGACAGCAAAAAATTGAAAGGGATGTGTTAGAAGTAAAAATGAGTGTGTGCACCGTTTGGGTTATTATTGTATAGGGTTTTGAATGAAAATATAAACTTGAAAAAGAAGAGAGAAAAAGTCAAGATTTAAGTCATGAAGTAAGCATTCATAAACATATGATCCTCTATTTATGTTATGACTAATTGCTTTTTAGTTTAGAGTTAACGTAATTAAGGTTCATATGCCTAGGACACTAAATTTGTTCAAGAAATTTTATTTACCAAATGATAGGGCCATATTTTTAACGTGACAATATTTGATTGATTTAGACTTGAATTAAGCTTTGTTATTGACAAAATATATAGTGAGGCATAAATTGACATATGAAAATTATTATAGCATAAGTTTGATGACTCTACCATTAGCTAAATATTGTAGAAACCTTCTTTTGCCTTTTCTTTTCCTGGTTAATTTTTGAGCTCAAACAGTGTTTTGTTTCAATGGACAGTATTTTATCTCTTTATGTTTATAAAAAGGGAATTGTTATCAGCACTTCAAAATTTTCATTCTACACTCCAAACTTTCTATATTTAGAAAGAAAAATACACTTGTGAGGATTGTAGAATGATATTTTTGGAGTGTCAATAACATTTTCCTATAAAAATACAACTTATTTCAAAGAATCTCATGAAGAGAAATGTTAAGAAGATTTTCTAAAAGTAGGATTGCCCATAAATTCTTTGCCACTTCAAAGTTTAATGTGAATTTTTGTGTTAATATTATAAAATATTATGCTAAAAATATAAAAGAACATATAGTTAATAAAAAATTTCACTTTTTGGGAAGTATTTTTTACCTCATGAATGAATTCTGCCTCTCCAAATGTATAGTCTAATCAATAGTACTCATTACCTTGTTTCTTGCTGAAACCAATTTTATTTGAAGTGTCATTAACAGTACTACTACTCCTGGCAACCCCTTCTTAGTTCTTATCATCATGGCATGCCGCCTTACATACAATCGGTTGTGGACTGATCAAGACACACATTAACACATATAATAACTTCATGGCCCTAGGGTTTTAACTATTGCACAGAATATAATATGAGATATGTCGTTTATTGAGACTACTGAGATTATGATTTTATTAATAATAAACCATATTTTAGAGCTCGAGCGTTTTGCAAACCTCCAAAATTTCCAGCATCATCTTTTTGTCTTTAAGTATCTGGAAGTAAGCAAGTTCTCACTTCCAATCTTAAATAAAAGATTCTGAGTGATTAACCTTACTACCGTCGCCTAAAAAAAGACCTTACTACCAAGCAACAGTAATGCACCCTCTCCGCATACCAACAACAAAAAATAAATTCCTTTATTTCATGTTGAGGAACAAGTTTTACTTAGTAGTAGTTTTGTTATTTGACTAGAAATGTATAGTTTTAGTGATATTATTTAGATATATAAAATTAACACACTTACTAACACATAAGCTTCAGGATTCTCAAAAATCACCATTATCAATTATACAAATGAAGCTTTAAAAAATGAAAAACAATAAGATAACATAGCACGCCTTGGTTGAATTAGTTCGTGTTTGCATAAGATTCCTGTTTTTTGTAGCTTTCATAACACATTTTTATTCCTGAAATGAAGTTGCAGTGAAGGACCCGTACAACAACATAAACATCATAATCATCATCACCATTCACATCCTCCCGAAAAGAAATGCACAAACAAAATAATTAAAAAGAGCTTTACCATGTACTGTCAAAAAAAGAAATGTTTCATTTCATATATCATCAGATTCAGAGTTCAGAAACATATAGAATAGAGGTCCACTGGGTCAATCTTTCTGAATATCTCCCCCACCACCACACCATACCCCATCAAATCCTTCTGATCATTTTTACTTACAACAGTCAGTCAGTAGACTCAGTAACTCTTCAGCATTCAGCAGCTACTAGCATTCAGTAACTTCAGTAGAAATACATGACCTTCTCATCATCTTCTGTCTTGCTTTCATCAACATTGAATAATAAGCTGTTAGACTTAGAGGACTCATTAATAATAGTATTATTATTATTATAATTATTTTTACTTCTAGTACTAATCAGCTGCTGCTTAACATCTTCGTCCAGATCAGTAAATTCTAATGTGTTGTTTTCTGATCCAAAATAAAACCCATTTGACCTTTCGGTCCATTGGTTGCCATAGTTAAGCATCATGAAGCTCTGATGATCAAAACCCATTTCTTCTTGTTTGATGTTATTAATCTCTGATCTGCTGCAGTAGTCATAGCTGATCTGATTATTACAGCTTCCATCAGATGAAGTACTGCAACTCCCTTTACTTCCAAACACGAGGAGGTTATTAATATTGTTATTTTTCTTCACTCCAGCTGGGTAATTTAGGGTTGGAAAAAAAGAAGAGGAGGAGTTGGTGGAAATGTTCGAGAAATTATTGGACGTCAGAGAAACTTGTGGTGGCAATGGCACTGGCACTTCAAACCCGAAGAAAGATCTGTTGTAATTGCTTAGGTCTTTGTACAGCGATGATAAAGGTTCAGATGGAATTAATGGTTGGTTTTGGTAATTGTGATGAGAGGAAGAAGGAAATGGGGGAGGCTTTAGTAAATTTTTATGGTAGTTGTGAGGTCGAGGAGGACCCATATGCATCCCCATGAGCTTCTTCTTGAGCTTGGTGTTCCAGTAGTTCTTGATATCGTTGTCAGTCCTGCCTGGCAGCTGAGCAGCTATAACTGACCACCTGTTTAATTTAATTATAATTAATTAATTGTTAATTACATATATAATTGTTCATTAAGTTCCAGATGAACCAAAAATTTATTCTGGCTTTCCCTTAACAGCTGTTAATGCTAGATCCAAACTTGGCATGCATGCAGTGAAAATATCCAAAAATACCAGATTCTTGATAAATGCAGTTTTTATAAACAAGAAAAAATAAGGAAAAAAACATGAAACTAATCTTTGTCTTTTCTCTTTCCTCTTTTTCCTTTTCTTTGTTACTGATTTTGGATAGGTTTCATCAACATCTTTCATGACTGCAGTTGATAATTAAGGAAAAAAGAAAAGTAGACTCGATGTTATAGTTATTGAATTTGAAATTAGGTAAAAAGATAAATGAATTAATATATAGTTCGAGTAGAGAAGTACCTGCTTCCAATACTAACAAAGAGGCTGCATATTATCCTGTCTTCCTCATCAGAGAATTCTCCATGTTTGATGTTTGGCCTTAGATAGTTAAGCCATCTCAATCTGCAGCTTTTCCCACATCTCTTCAGAGCTGATCCAAACACCCAATTTAATTAACTCACACATAAATAATAAAAGAGAGAGAGAAGAATTGAACCCTTACCAGCTTTCTGTGGGAGAGCAATCCAATTCCCACCAGTCCCATACTTCTCTATGTACTCTTTTAGCTTTGAATCTTCTTCTGGTGACCATGGTCCCTTCTTCACGTTTGCTTTGTCACAACAAGGAGCCCTCCCCATCTCTCTCTCTCTCTCTCTCTCTCTCTCTCTCTCTCTCTCTCTCTCTGTGGGAGAGAAGTCTCGCTTTAGATCTCTTGGGTATGACCTAAACTCTATTGAGGAACCAAAGGTCTCACCTTTTGAAATGGATTTTGAGTTTGGGCGATGATATGCCTTAATAATAGTGGTATGGAAGGGTTTGGACAGCGCAGCACACTAGAAAAAATTATTATTTTATTCAGTGATAGGCTTTTAAGTCAAAACGAGAGACAATGTTCAATCATCAGATTTCTAACTCCCTATGCCAATTAGCTTAGCTAATCGAACTGTCTAACTTTCCATCTCATATATGTTGGCACCCCACAAATCATCATTTATCATCATCAACCTCACTCTCATACGTCTTTTCCCAAAGAAAGTATCCAAAGTTTTCTACTAAGTAGAAACAAAATATATAGGCAATTGAAGTGATAGCTAGAGGCCTCCGACATTTTGACATTTTCCCAAATCATAATCCCAAAGTAATAGCTACTACCTAGATATACATTAACTTTGTATGGAACTTTGAAATTAATAGCCTTTTGTAAAGAAAATCAACATGATATAATTTTTCAACTTAATAAGATCATCTCCAAAAGAGATGTCAAAATCATAAGTGAAATGCTACTGTGTATATTTGACATTAAAAGTCTCTAAGCGAAATGTTTTTTGTTGATTGAATTTGAAGGTTTTGTAATTTAATGTCAAATTTGACATCATTGTCAAATTTATTTTTAATTCATTTTAATGGTGATCTCTTATTCTACTAACATTTCAACCCAAAAAATAAAAAAATATTAACATTTTTTTAATTACTACAAGTATTTAAAACTCTATTTAAATAATAAAATAACATTTAATAATTTGGTTGGAGAAGGATAAAATTTAACATAAGGCTTCAGATTACTACATTAGTCATCAATTGTGTTTTGATTCTTATAATTTAACATTTCATTTGGAGATTGTCTAACATTTAACACCTAATTCAAGTTTGGAATAATTTAAGAGACAAATCAAGTTTTAATTTCCGCACATCACTCTATGAAATATGACTCATATCTGAGTAGGTGTGAAAACCATATACTTGCAGCGTATGGGCCAAAACTAGCATCGTGGAGCTTCGGCTTCTCTTAAAGTCAATGCTTCATTCATTACATAACTAATTACACAGTTTTCTCCTTATATTTGTGTAAGTGTGACTTCCATGCGTAGAAAAGGATCCCACATCTTCTAGTTCATCCACTAAAAAGAGGATCGTATGGTGGAATAAACAAGAAACATATATTGGTAAGATGATAAAATCGGAACCTTTAATTTGGCCTATTTTGAAAATTACTTAAGGCGAGTGGATGATGTAAAATATGTTTAGCTCTAATATTTCTCTGCTTAATTGTATTTTAAATATGCGAACATGTGATTGATATATTGATATTGTCAATAACTCGACTTAAGTTGTTGGAATCAATGGCGGATGAATTAAGTAACCCAGGTGATCCCAGACCACTCGAAAGCTGGAATGTGGCTGTGAGGACCTCCGGGAATCACCCAAGTTGGGCATGTAGGGGAGAAGAGTGTACCAACGGACCGGTTGCTGCAGGTTTAGCAAATGACTAATGAAGGAGAAGAAGACTATTCTGTTTTTTAAAAGACTTGGCTAAAATAACGTCTTTTTAAGCCAAGCTATTTAAAACAAATAATTAAAAGCAAGTATTCATATTAAGCCATGTGAATGAGACCCTTTTTAATTATAAATAAATGAAGAGAGTCTTTTCTCTTTCCTCCTGCCAGAGATCTCCACCCAATCCCATTTTGCATTCATTTTCTCTAATTGGGTAATTCTCATTTCCAATTTCCTTTTTCCTCTAACCCCACCTAACGGATCCCCAAGCCATCGGCTGCTTTACGCCTCCCTCTGTTTCCTCTCCATGACTACCATATGGTTCACTTCCCTCTAGTCTCCACCACCACTTAATCACCTAATTTATGAATTTAAGTAAGTTTTCTATTTTAGTCTAAATTAATCATATAAGATGTTAAAATTGATGTGTATTGGATGGATTCATCAATTGATATAGTTTTTTTGTTTTGGTTAATTGATATGTGTAGAAATTAGAAGTATGGAATGAGATTATAAGAAAAAATCATCAACAATTAGCTTAGACAATCCTATTTCAATTAGTTCAACTCTAATTTTGGATAGTTCCAATCCTATTCCGGATAGCTCAACTCCAATTTTAGCTAGTTCAAAATCATCATCGATCTGTTTTTTCTTGTATTGACAATGAAAGTATTATGACACATTTTCAGAGTATGAAACCTTGTCGTGGACAAATTTAAGTTTTTGTAGTTTGTACAAATATTATGAATGAAAAGTTTGTAGTTTATCATTTAATTTTCCAATGTTACTTTCTTTCATTATTTTTTAACTTTTATACTAGGACCACTCAATATTAGAATCCTAAATCCGTCATTGATTTGTATGGTTGACGATATGTGGCTCTGGCTTATATATATATATATAAACTAAACTAGAAAAGTGCAGTTAAATTTAACACAGTTTATGATACACATATAGGTTTGATTTTCTTATTCAAAAGGGAACTGTTATTAGCACTCTAAAAATCTCATTCTACACTCCTTACAAGTGTATTTTTCTTTCTAATTATAGAAAATTTGGAGTGCAAAATGAGATTTTTGGAGTGCAAATAACAATTCCCATTCAAAATAATGAAAGATGTTCTTCCTAATCCTTCATTGCATTTTTTTTTAATGAAAGTACGATATTCATTGATGAATAAGTTGAATACGTACAACATTGAGGATAGGGTGTATATAATGGACCTCGATAAAAATATTGTCAGAATTTCAACTCGGACGAAGAGAAAAAGAGCATCCCATACCATTAAAGATTATAAAGAAGTACTATCCTCAACAAGAAGATCAGAGATTACATTGGGGGTTCCTCGAACAAATTACATGAGTATCTAAGATTAAACCCAACCTTGCCAACCTATGTGCCGCCTTGTTCGTCAGTCGCTGACTAAATGTAGTCTTCCTTCATTGCGTTTTTTTTTTTTTAATTCCTTCATATTTCATCAATAATGCAAGATCCATATACAATTATGTTAAGAGCAGTACATATTATCTTCACACATCACAATATCACAATTTTCATATCAAGATATTGTTTTGTCCCATAGGTCATGATGCGTTTATCCTTATACAATAGGGTGATGCCATCCATATCTCTTTTTACTTTTCACACACACCCTTTTAATTTTTGTCCTTTCATCTTCTATAATTCATTTGATTCAATGGTCGATAATTAAAAGGTGGGTGTCAATACATATTTGACATTGCCATGCCATTAGAAACACACATCGCACTGTAGATTCTAGAGCATGCTCATCGCCTCCAATTCCATTTTTGGGGGACTGAGGGAGAGAGAACACAATTGACACCGCCCCTACCCATACGGCCTTAGGCGATGGGTTAGGCGATAGGCCTGATTAGCCTGATCAGTTGGGGCTTAGGCTGGAGCTCATTTTGTTGATTTTAGTGGATTGAATCACCCAATCCCCCTAGCAATTGGGATAGGTGGACTTGCTCTAAAAAGGGTAAATAATTAGAAAATCTTAGGAAGTTTAAGGCCATCTCCAACCGAAGGGTCCATAGGGCCGAAAATAGCCTAAAACCGTCTCCAAATGAAGGCCAAGCCAAAGGCTCGTGGGCCCCACTGGATAAAAAATGGCCAAAGGGCCAACCGGCAAACTCAAATGAGCCAACCAGCCAGCCCCGATCGGGCTAAAAAATTTAAATCTCAATAGCTAGTTAACGTCAGCTAGCCGTTATATATATTTTTTTTTACAATTTTTTTTTTGGGCCACAAATTTAAAAAAAATATTTAATTAAGGCCCAAAAAGGTGATTGGTTCTATACGAGGATGTTACTTTTATAAGCATGTTTGATTGCTCAAACCTCTCCCACAGCCAATGTGGGACAAATATAATGGGTGCCCCAAATATAAGTTTTCTATTAGAGATGGTAAATGTGCATTTAATTTAAGTTGTTGTAGTTTTTAAATTTAAATAATATGTTTGGCCCTTGGTTGAAGATGGTAAGAAATATGATCTTGCACTGTTTATTAAAATATTAATTTCTTAGAAGGAGCTTTCGGTTGGAGATGGTCTAAGTAACGAAACGATGAGATTATGCCTTTTTACGCTTTTTTGGCAATTCTTATTAAATGTATCCATATCAAAGAATCATTACACAATATTCATGATCATTGTTATCTAGTAGCTAGAGTACAGTGCCTGAGATGCACATAGTAACTAATGAGAGTGATGATATAGTTTGGACCCATCAATCAGATTCTTTACCCTTAAATTCATCTGATCAGGTGCCCGGACCGTAGACACTAATCAATGCCACCTCCTTGGATTGACGATGCATCATAGCTATTGACACAACTAGTTTTAAAAAGGCAAACAATCTTCAGAGATAGTTCTCGTACATTGTAGCATTTCCTCAATGGGATGCATCGACCATAGTTTTGTTGGGGTGTACGTAGGCTCACTATTTGGGTTTCTGAGTGACCCATAGGAATAGAGGCCTAATAATGGATCACTTGGACGAGGGACCCTACCTAGCCAGCCAGATGCATGATTTTGCAAGCCAAAAAAATAAAATTGTTTGGCACAGGAATTATGACCACTCTACATGGTTATAAAAAGAAGAAAAAATTGTGATTTTATATGTATAACATCTTCATTTCTAGGTAGCACTTAGTGCTACGGCTTGTTTATAATTTAGATTTAATTTTTACAACTGTTAGATCTTTTATGTTCAATTTTAATTATTGACAATTTTTCGGACCATTGACGAAAAAATTGCATTGTTTTAATGCAAATACTTCAAATAAATATCATTATCAATAGTTTATAGTTGATTAGTAATAACGCTCAAGCACTAATCAATTAATAATTTAATACGACACTAACCACTAAAATGGGCCCACTCTCTGAAATTTCTCATAATCTAAATCGATATCATTTTTTAGATTACTGTTGAAAGATTATTCCTATAAATATTTATTGAAATCAGAAATCATTCATTCATCTAATTATGACGTAATATACATACAAACACAATGTTGACAATAAATAATGAAACAATCATAATAATAATTAAAGGGCTAACTGAATTTTCGATCTGAGCGA